AAAAACTTCTACCCTTTCTAAAATGTAAACTTATATATATATATATATATATATATATATATGATGTAATATGGTTAAAAAAATTCAAAACTCCCGTCATTTTAAAAAGTTTAATTGGAACCAAGATATAAAAGTTCATCATTTGGTTCATATATATATATATATTTTTAGGTACACATATTTATAAGTATAGAGAGGTAAAACTTTGGTTTAGAAAAGAAGGTTAGAAAAAACAAAAAAAATTAATGGGCCTCAAGCCCGGCCCGAGATCCGACTGGCCCGGCCCGACCGGCCCGTAGCCCATTTGGCCCGAGGCCCGAAAGCCCGAAGTTTAATGAGCCTACATTTTTTAAGCCCATGTCCTTATAATTTTTGGGCGGGCTCGGGCCGGGTTTCAGGCTCCGGGCTTAATTGACACCCCTAAATAAGAGTGTTTAAATTAAAGTTAAGATATATAGACAGTTCAGATCTATTGGACATTTATTTCATTATTTTTGTTATTTATGTTTTCATTAACAACAAAATTTACACGCCGTTAGATTTATATATTATTTTGGTAACTATAGTTCCCTGTGAACATTTCATTTATATTTTTTTTTCTATAAATATGGAGGTTTTCGTACATAACTAAAACATCCAACATTGATATATACTTAAAAAAAAAAAGAAGAAGAAGAAGAAGTGGTTTTATATAAATTGCTGCTTTTGTCGCCAAAAGTATTTGATCATTTATAGTTCAACAAAGCCTTGACGTTTAGAATCCGTAGTCTAGAACTTGGAGACCAATTCAAATGAATATAACAATATTATTCTTACGGGTTATAAATTTATAATAATAATGAATATATAAACGGTTTGAATTATACAACATAGCTATTGTATCCTTCTTGCTTCATTAGTAATTTTTAGGAGTCTGTATTTGAATTCAATTAAACTCGTATATGGCAGTTGATCTTAGTCTATTACTGGCTATATAATACTTATTATGTATTTAATTAAACAACGACGAAAAAATATTCATACTTAACCGAACTTTATGATTCTTTTTTTTTTTGGTAAGTGTACTTAATGATTCTTAGAAAATGAGAGTTGTTTTTAAAAAAATATACCACAATTATAAAACCGGTCTAACCGCGATCAATTTCTATTAGAATTAGAAATTTGCATTTGGTTCGCCACAGTAACATATAACTACTCCTTTTTATTTATCTCTTATATATGCTTTATATGTGTATATAAACACATGTACATATATACCAAGAAGCATATGTGTGACACACACACATATATATATATATATATTGAGTATATCATTGTGTATGTCAATGTTTGATGCATATATAGTTGAACCGAATTTCAACAAACCCACAACTTATAAATTAAAATAAAAAAAAATCATGTTACATGACTGATGGGGCATCACAGATGCTCTTTCCACTGCTCATAATCTTTCCACCTATGTAATGGCCTATATATCCATTACAGATTACATGCTTGTAGTCTAACGATTATACAACTACGATGTGCCAAAACTATACAAAAACTGTAAGAATATAATAGAGATATATTAAAAAAATGAATGTAAAATATTATATATAAATAAAAAAGTTTGAAGAATTGCAGTTAAATATAGATTTATAGCAAAATTATAAGAAATTTCATCAATTTGGATTAAGAGAAGGGAAGAGACCGACATAAGATCGTTTAATCGTTTTTATCGATGGAGAACATCATCATATATACATTGTTCCGTGTATGTATGTATATACACTTATAACTACGAGGATGAATAGGATGAATAGTAACCAGAGGTAAGAATTCATTCCTAATCTAATAACTAATTTAATTAAAACAAAAAAGAAGGTCGAAATCAGTTGAGGGGATCGAATATTATATATAAGACAAAAGAGATTTGAGGCGTACCGTGTGTGTATTGGTCAAGAGGAGCAGCACGACGGTGAACCAAATGACAGGACTGTCAGATGCAAAAACAAGAAGTTAAGTATTCGATAGTGATCGGTTATATAAAAACGTAGTGGCGAATGTCTGAGTTGGACCGATAGTCCTGACCTGATTCCGGCGACCACTTTGAAATCTTCTTCCAACGATCTCTGGATGTATTTATGGAAATCAAATCTTGTTTCGCTCCCGGACGTCAAACGAGTCTGAGGAACAAATGCATGTCAAGCGTTAACAACTTCTTTTTGTGAAGGGGGAAAAGTAGGGAGATCCCGGGAGGAGGAATTCATTACCATGATAAAACTATGTCTGAATGTGAGGTAGCCGACCTTGCCTGGTGACAGATCGAAAGAACTGTCTTAAAAACATACCTACGACACGTAAAGAAAACTCGGTATAACTTATCCGAAGTTTTTACTGTCATAAGCATCATCATTTGAGAAAATCTTGAAAAAAGCTTATGATCCATAATGTAACAGTTGTTCTGCTCCAAAAACTCAGATGCCTGCACAAGAAATACGTATCCCTCGTAAATATGAATCTCCTAGGATCTGCACGAAAAAGTTCGGATCAGCTAAAAACCTAATCCATCTTCCATCAACTTGTCTGAAATCGAAGAATACATACCGTTGGAATAATGATATTCGATTGTCTTCGTCGCGTCCTTCAATTTCTTCCACCTCCTCGTCTGCAATGTCGAAGAAAAACTTGTCATTTTACGTATCATATAAACTCGTGTAGTATATATATATGCGTACCTTTGTCTAAGCATAAGTTATGATACAGTAGAGGAAGTGATAAACAGCGAGAACGAAGATGAATATGTGCAGTTGATGAATGCCATATGCCGACACGAAAGCGACTTTCCCCTGAAGTATATATATGAAACAACGAGCTCCAGAATCAGCCGCTTGTTCTGATAAAGATCAAACCGAGACACGCCGTCCAAATTCTCTTTTCTCTTCCCTGAATCCAAATTGATGATATTTCTTATAATTTTGCTGTCAATATCGAATGGTAGCCACGATTACAACATATGCTTGTAGGAAACTACAGTGTACGAAAACTGTACAAAAACTGTGAGAATATAATAGAGACTTATGAAAAAAAAATGAGTGTAAAATATTATATATAAATAAAAAAGTTTGAAGAATTGCGGTCAAATATCAAAATTGACACGTTTACATAAAATTAAAGACCGACACGAACAATTATATAAAAGTAAAGATTATAAATACTTAAGATTTAGCCATAATGGTATTATCTTAGAAACCGATAACAACAAAATCTAAAGGGATGTCGAAGTCGTGGTCTCCGTGACTTAGAAGGAGGAAGAACATACTTTCTGTGAGAACATTGTGAGGGGAAGTATCATAGTGAGGTAGTGAATGAAAAGGATTTTTGCAACAAAAAAAAATGTAAGATGGAATTTAGAGTGAATGGAGACATACTATATAGATTTATCAAATATCAATACAAACTGATGTGTATGAAATACTCCGATTTGTTTAAACTTTGGTACAAGAAAATTTCTAACATTTTCATTATTAAAGTTAGAGTGGAAGGCGTATCTTTCCAAAATTCCAATGGAGACCACATCTAGAAAGTAGTTTTTTAAATTATAAATCTAATTTAAAAAACTAGTTCTCTAAATTAATCATTTTTATAATAAATCTAATTTAAAAAAGTAAAATTTTAAAAACCGTTAGTTTTAATTTTTTTTGTAACCGGATATTCAGATTAAGGTTCAGACTAATCTCAAGGGCAGAAATCACCTATGTGATTTGGATTATACCTCTCCAAATTTGAGATTCGAACTCGAAGCGAGATAGACGTTTTACAATCTCATTTCACCGGTCAAACTATCAAACTATCAAGTTTGAATTTTTAGTTTTAAATCTCTAGTGGATCAGGCCCAATCTTCTTTTCTTTTCCAAGCCCAAGCCCAAGACGTAACTTAACCTTAATCCCTTTACTCTTCGTTACGTCCGAGAACATTTCACCAGAAGCTTCTTCTTGCCTCCTCTCTCTGTCTCTTCTTCTTTATGCGTCTTCTTCTTCATGTCACAGTTATCATCTCCCTCACGATACCACAGGCGAAGGATGATGTCATCAGCACGAGTCTAAGACAAAGCAGCTCAACGAATCTCCGGTTCTTCCAGCGATGAGCCGAACCAGCCTGAGTCTGAGCCGATCTCCTTCCTTCGACACGTGAGCGACCTGTTCATCAAGAAAGATAACTGCAGAAGCCGAACTTCGACACACAAAGATAAGTTTTCTTTCTTCCTAATCTTTGATTAGATTCTTCCAGATTTTAGGGTTTTTCTTTGGGATTAGATTTCAGGTTCCGATTAAATACAGAGATGAGTATACGAACACACGCACACACACACTCTAGAACACAGATTTAACGAGTTCAGATTCCCAGTGTGGGAGATCCTACATCTCGGCAGGGACTTTGCCCTAGGTTAATCCACTATTACGTTCTTGCACCATTACAACAGAGGAATATATCATTCTCTCTAATATACAAGCATACACAGAATCGGGATTAGAAACTTAGCTCTTTCCCTTGAGTTTTCCTCCTTTCCGATCACAGAACTTGCCATTCTTATGCATCGAAGCTGATCTCTTCCTCCATTTCTTTTGCAGCTTAGTCAGCCTCCACAGAAGAAAACGAGAAGAAGAATACTCTGCGTGCTCTCTGTGCTGAACTAATGTGTATTCTCGTTCCAAAACCATTTCTGATTTCTCATACCTTTTATAGCAGATTTAGCAGGTAACAACTCTGAGATTCTTTGTTAGTTTGTTATCAACAAACTTTACCCGATTTGTAAACAACCTTCCACGTAGGATTATTCTTTAGCATCGCCAAATCTCATAGTCATTATCCCAACAATCTCCACCTTGACTTGAGATTTCATCATGGATTAACCTAGAGCTTTATCAGACTTTGTAGTCTTTGAAATCCGGACATGTTCAACACCTTTCATCGAACATTCCCATCCCTGTAACCTTAGAAGCTTGACCACTTCTTAATAGCACAGCTAGCATCTCACTGCTGAATTTATCCCGGTGTCATCTAAGTTCGCAACCCGACTTAGAACCGTTTTTCCATGTCTCATGCCCTGAAACAATCCGTCACTGTCCACCAAAAAACCGGTTGAACAGAATTTCCTTGACCTTCCTTGTTACAACACCCCGTGTAGCAAGTCTGTACTTCCCGCGATCTTCCCTGCGCTCCACAATGCTCCACCTAGACCGGCACACTGTGCATTCCAGATTTTCCTTCACTTCACTGTTTCCCTGAACCGGTTTAACAGCTTTTGTCCATTGCTGTCGCCATCTTTCTTGACCGAAAAACTGCAGCAACCCTTTTCCCGTGAGCTCCACCTTCAACCGGAACTCATCGTAGCTCCGAGTCTATCCTGACTCTAAAACAGGTATGTATCCTCTCTTTGAATCTGTTCCGATTCTGATTCTGATGTACCGTCGTAGCTCCACCGGAGTCGTTATCCTGATTCTTGACTTCGAGCTTTCCACGAACTGGTAATAACTGTTTCCTTTGTTTCTTGCAGCTTCATGCGATTGTTGACGATGATCTCTCCTGAACCCGAGTCTCATTCCTTCAATTAGCAAACTGCTCCACGCCATTGAATAGGTGCGTTAACCCTTTTCCTTTGATTCTTTCTCTGAGTCCTTGCAAGCTGTTTTGTCCATTTGGTAAGTCCTCCAAATTCCTCCAGCATAACCGCTTTAATCAGGCTAAACCCACCAAAGCAGGCCTAACCAACCAGAAAGGCAACCCTATACCGAGTCTTCATAACCAGCTGTAAACCAAGCCTTTTCTTGAATTGATCTAAAACCAGGTTGTCCACTGACCCAAGTTCAAACCGGATTCACCTTAAACCAGACCTTTTTTTTTTTTTTTTTTTTTTTGACAGACATTTCCTTTTCTTGACAGACATTTCCTTTTGACAAGGCCTTAACCAGACTCTCCTCTTCATGGGCTCTAACAGGCCCAACCGCCAAAACCAGTCTTCGTCCACCAAGACTAGTACCATGACCTCAAACTAGGCCTCAACTTCAACCGGGCTTTGACTGACCCGACCCACTTAGCCTAACCAGGCTCTGATACCACTTCTAGTGGATCAGGCCCAATCTTCTTTTCTTTTCCAAGCCCAAACCCAAGACGTAACTTAACCTTAATCCCTTTACTCTTCGTTACGTCCGAGAACATTTCACCAGAAGCTTCTTCTTGCCTCCTCTCTCTGTCTCTTCTTCTTTATGCGTCTTCTTCTTCATGTCACAGTTATCATCTCCCTCACGATACCACAGGCGAAGGATGATGTCATCAGCACGAGTCTAAGACAAAGCAGCTCAACGAATCTCCGGTTCTTCCAGCGATGAGCCGAACCAGCCTGAGTCTGAGCCGATCTCCTTCCTTCGACACGTGAGCGACCTGTTCATCAAGAAAGATAACTGCAGAAGCCGAACTTCGACACACAAAGATAAGTTTTCTTTCTTCCTAATCTTTGATTAGATTCTTCCAGATTTTAGGGTTTTTCTTTGGGATTAGATTTCAGGTTCCGATTAAATACAGAGATGAGTATACGAACACACGCACACACACACTCTAGAACACAGATTTAACGAGTTCAGATTCCCAGTGTGGGAGATCCTACATCTCGGCAGGGACTTTGCCCTAGGTTAATCCACTATTACGTTCTTGCACCATTACAACAGAGGAATATATCATTCTCTCTAATATACAAGCATACACAGAATCGGGATTAGAAACTTAGCTCTTTCCCTTGAGTTTTCCTCCTTTCCGATCACAGAACTTGCCATTCTTATGCATCGAAGCTGATCTCTTCCTCCATTTCTTTTGCAGCTTAGTCAGCCTCCACAGAAGAAAACGAGAAGAAGAATACTCTGCGTGCTCTCTGTGCTGAACTAATGTGTATTCTCGTTCCAAAACCATTTCTGATTTCTCATACCTTTTATAGCAGATTTAGCAGGTAACAACTCTGAGATTCTTTGTTAGTTTGTTATCAACAAACTTTACCCGATTTGTAAACAACCTTCCACGTAGGATTATTCTTTAGCATCGCCAAATCTCATAGTCATTATCCCAACAAAATCTTTGATTCTCATCACATGTCTTTTGTCCATACAGTTAAACACTCCGTACTATAGTTTGTTGCGGTGAGTTTTAGTTTCATGACATTTGATACATTGACTAAAAACTCACTGCATCAAACTAAATAATATGAAGTGTTCAACTCTGTCAGAAGGTATGCAATAATAATCACCTTATTTTTTTTATAACCCACCATCCTCGACTGAAATCCAGACTAATCTCGGAATCGGGAGTAAGATATATGTTTTGAATTATACGCGCCTTTCTCAATTTGAGACTTGAACTCGGGACGGGACAAGTGTTTTGCGTCATCTTTTCACCGGTTGAGTTATCCACGGTTAATAATCACCTTGTTTGGTTACTCTGATTTGTTCGTCAGATGTCTGGCGATACAAGTAACATATTTAAACATAGAGAAGAGTTCTTGTTGGGGTGCTTTTTCATACATGTTTCACCGGTCGTACTATTCTTTGCCCTTTTATTTTTTTTAATCTACATGCGTCATACGAGGTTGGATCCCATTAGTTTACATGAAGTGATTATGAATATGAGAGTTTATTTTACTAATTTCTACTGTAAATATGAGTTTTAAATATATATTGTATCAAACGTTTAATAGAAAGCCGCAAAATAATTATTAGAGGCGACCATGTTGATTGTAAAATCTATCGGAATAATTTATTATTCAAAGTGAAGCTGATTAAAACCGTTTGAATATGATTTTTCTAAACCCAAACTAATAAAATTCGAAGCTAATAAAAAAGAATATCAAAATAATGACATTGAAATAAATGAAATATCTTATAACATAAATAGAATTTTAATAGAAAATATGTAAGTGAATATGATTTTTTATAAAACTGAAAAATTAAGTTCAAAAACAAGTTTTTTTTTCTTCAAATGTCTACTTCTAAGGTTCATCCAAATTGTGAAGTTATTGAAACATTATCGTAGGCAAGTTAACTATAATATACAAATGTTTGTCCATTATTTGTAATACGGGACACAACCCACCAATCGATAGTTAGATATCATTTATCATAGAGGCTAGAGTAAAGCAAACAAATTAACAACCACCGCCCGTGCATTATTAATTTTATTTTTTGAATAAGAACAAAATAACTTCCTGCTAATTTAATATAACTTAATAAGGGAAAAGATAAGATAATATTCATATAAGGAATAGTTTTTTTAGAGAAAAAAAAAACAGGACAAAAATAAGAAAGCAAAAAATAGTGACAACGCTGAGAGAAGAAGATGAAGGCGCTCCCTTTTGACCTACAAGCACGTGGCTACATGCCCCATTAGCTAATTATAGATTTATATATGCTAATTATGTTCAATAGTACTAATTTAAATTGTGGTTCTGCTCGGTTCCTATTCGAATATCATAATTTCGAATTTTTATTTAGTGCAGAGTATAAAGAGATTTGTTATAAAAAATGTTTGGTAAGAGGTTTAAAGAGATTTGATTATATATACTTATGTGTCGTGTTTTGATTGGATCGATTAATATCATATATATAGATATTCATACAGAAATAGTTTATTATGTCAAGACATAATAGTGTGCCAAGTTGCTATATCAATCTTGTGAATAATATTCCAAATCGCTGAATGATGGTTAATCAATCTACATGTATTAGTTTTATAAAAATGGTTTTACATAAGATGTGTATGCTTTGGGTGTCTATAACTTATTCAAATAAATAAACTTTTACATTATGTAAATAACGAGTTTAAATTTTTTAAATTAAATAGTTATAAAAAAATATGTTTTCTCATCATATAAATTTTATTGTTGGGTGTTTTATTTTTATTTCTTACTTTTATTTTTTTGGGTTTTCTTTGTTTTTTTGGGTGATAATTCACATCAAATATTGATACATACCATTTGAATAATATTAAAAAGGACATAAAAAGAGGGGAATTTTTTTAAAAAAAAGGAAGAAGAGAATATGACAAGCTTGAAGGGGATTGTTTACCTGTCCCTTGTCTCCCACTTTTTATAATTGTCCTTGTGGACTATATATACCTTAATGTAATCACATTTCAAATTACAACTTAATTTTTATGAGTTTAATAATTGTCTGCAGTTTGCTTATATATATCGATAACGTCTGTTTTTGAATGATCAATATACTAAATTCATAATATTTATATAGAAATTTAATGCTTTTTTCAAATTAAAAAGTGGAAAAAAGAATCTAATAATAGCAAACTTTTTAGCATATGATTAGATCATCATATGTTTTAGAGTTAATTATTGTGCAACACCCAACTCGTTAGTCTAACATTAAATATACTTTGGACCGCCCTTGCACATTAGATTATAAAATAAAGATTAGACTAACCGGAGGTTTTAGCCTAATGTTGATCATAAGTTTAGTGTTTTACGTAACTACGATGTAAAATGATATTCATACATAGAATCCAAAGTACTTAGGAAAATTCTAAAAATCAAATTAAATCAAATCAATTACACGACAATAAGATTCTAAGAACTCCGTAGAGAGGGGCCCACAATCACGAACACAGTGTCAGAAAATCTGCAGAGCTTGCAGAGAGAAGAACAAAGAGGAAGCATAAACCACAGAATCCCAGAAAAGATCTCTTCTTACGAAATCAAAACCATTATCTCTTCCTGTTCTTGTCTCTTCCACTCCCTGTAAAAATCGAACCCAGACCAAACAGATTCCCAGACGGTACAACATTCAGAACCGGATTTACCCTAATCCCTGAACCTCCAACTCCGCCATTGTAGCTGTAACTGTAACCCCCATAGCTCTTCTTCAGTGGCGGCTTCTGAGAACCGTTGTGACTACCGCTACTACTACTCGAAGAAGAAGAAGAAGCAGCAGAAAACAGAAACTTCGCGTTCTCTGCTTGTTTCCTCGCGCTCTGTTTCTGTTTGTTGACGCCGTTAACGCTCGTCGACGTCGATCCGGTGGAGTTGCTCCGTGAGAGCAACGCTATCGGACATAAACTCCGACCATATCCACTTCCAGTGTTCAAGCTGCTGCTTCGCTTGAACCCCCAAAACGACCTCGTACTGTGCTTCTCCTCCGCCGGAATACTGACGTCACCATCATCGTTATCTCCGGTCACAACAAGCTGCCCTTGTTTCTCCGATTTCGCAGCCCGACCCGGCCGAGAACTCCGGGTTTCGGGTCGACCCGGTTGAGTATCCCGGTTTCTGGGTCGACCCGGATCGGGTTTCGCGGGTTTGAGTCTGGGTTCGGGTCTCTTCTTGATCTCGGTGGGGAGGATCTTGCCGTCGCAGAAGATTTCGTCGGCGGACCAAGAAGCTTGGTCGAAGCTCTCGCCGGTGGCGACTCTTCCGGGGATGCAAAAGTCGAAGTCGACGCTGGAATTATGACTCGACGGTTTCGACGACGGAGATCGCAGTGGACGTTGCTCGATTGGTATGGTGTCGGAATTGCAGAAATCACGAGAAAACGAGATTCTCGGACTGATGCTGGAGTTTTCAGAGAAAAGATCCACAGCCATTTTTTTATTTTCCCTAAGAAATTTTATAAACCTTTAAAATTTTCCGAGGGGGAGTTATAGTTTCCGGGAAAATGCAGATACTTTCTCGAATAATGAAGCTTAGAGAGGAAGAGAGAGAGAGAGAGAGAGAGAGAGAGAGGGGGGGGGGGATTTGGGGAAGAGGGTGAGACGATTCGAAGGATTGGATTAAATTATTTTATAGGGAACTGTTTTTTTAAAATTAAACAAGAAATATACAAAGGGAAAATAAATAACGATTCGAAGGATTGGATTAAATTATTTTATAGGGAACTGTTTTTTTAAAATTAAACAAGAAATATACAAAGGGAAAATAAATAAATAATTAAAGGAGTTTTCGGGTAAGAAAAAAAGGGGGAACAATAATATATGCGAGACACGGGGGGACAGATAAGCGTGTTAGTTGTATGTTATTCACATGCATGGGAAAAAGGATGTTCTAGTCTTTTATTATTATTATTATTATTATTATTGGGCCATTAGTGTATGCTACAATCTTTATAACCTTGTTACTTCTTTTATTGTATAATAGATAATGAATAATCTAATCTATAGCCATTGATTTGAATCCACACCGAGTCATCATATAATATTTCATTATAGCGAATGGGAAGAGGACTACAATCTAATTATATTTTCCATGTTGGTTTTATTTATTTGAATAGAATCGTTTTGTTTTAAATATATAAACAGTGAAGGATGGAATTCAAATTCTATTTTTGTATCTTAAATAACCGGTATATATAAATTTTCTCTTCTCTTGGGCATAAATTATGGGAATCTAAGCTTAAGATAAGTAGTTATACTAATTAGAAATTGCATTTCGAAATTTATGTTTGTTCGGTTATTTTGGGGTTTAGTTTTTTTTTAAAGTTATGTCAATTAATTTTTTATTTTAAATTCCATTAGATTTGCATTGAATAAAAATCAGTACTCATTTTTAATAGATTTTCGTTTTCCACCTTTTTTCTTATTATTTTCAAATTTCAATTATATCCAGTTAATTCATTTTTATAAAAAAAATATATCCAAATAATTTTTATATCAGATTTCATTCTGATATAATTTTATGTTATTTTTTCTGCGTTATATTAGGTCTCATTACGTTTAGTTTTGTTTTGCTAATCCAAATATAAAATTTTATCCCTAATTATAACAATATTTTCAAAAAAAAAATACAAAACTCCTATCTCTTTTCAATGATTCATTAATGAAAAAATAACTAATTTTATTTGTAAGTTATTTTTTGTGCACATTTAGATAAAACAAATTAATATGTATAAAAAAGTATTTTAATGTACACCTACCACATGAAAACAATGAATAAAATTGGTTTGACTCCTCGAAGAAACATTAAATATTCACTTAATTAGTACGGGAAAACGCTGCTTTTAATTAAGTCGAGGATTCATTAAGACGCACATCCATTGAATGCACATCGGCCATATATATATATATATATATATATATTTTAATTCAGATTGATTTATTTGGCTTTGACCCAATTACATACCACAATGACAAAATAAATCAATATCAAAATAATAAAATAGTATATTTTATAAATACATACGATACATGCATGTGCACAACAAAACTACAAAGGATTGCGTCCACTTACGAGTTCTCTCTATATATACACATACATACATGCATCAGCAATTATGGTTCCATCCACTAACTTTTTCTTCAGAATTCGAATTGTCGAGAGATGTTTCTTTAGTGATTTTAGGTCTTACTCTTTTTTTTTTATAAATAATTCTAAACTTTACCGATATATATTTAATCCAAATATATCTTTCAAAAATCGGAGAAATCCATATAAATATCCCTTCACAAATAAAAATGAATTTGATTTGATATCGAAAGAAATTTTATTCTCCTTCTTACGAGTATTTTAGATCTTACTTTTATGATAAGCAAATATTAAATATTTCTCGTTGAATATTTTAATGTTAGTTTTTCCTTTTTTCAAATTTTAATAAATTTATTCCGAATATATTTTAATATCATAACATTTAGGCGATGAATATCTGATACAACATATAAAATTGTTATTTCAATTAATTAAATTTTAGTGTATCTTTTTTTCAATTTTGACTCAAAATTTAAAAGTTTAATTTTTATGGTGTTCCTTCATCATTGTGTAGTCTTTATACATGGTTGTGTTAATTCCTGCGTATGACATCAGATATTTTCCTTGGGTATTCCGAAGCAAAAAAGTTTACTTAGTAAAATATATTCGGAAAAAATTTCGACTGTTATCAAAATATCTAACATAAAGTAATGTATTAAAATATGTAATAAAAAAATCTTAGGCATTTGGCAAACGAGACTAAACATCTCTATCTAGGGTTTGATAAACGAGAGTTACTTTTCGTCGTCACACTGTAATTATTATTTTTTTACTTTCTTCAAAATGTGAAAAAAAAACGAAAAACATCAACTACTGAATTAACTCTTCGAAGATCATCATCGAACAGGGAAAAACCCATTGTTGAAACCTCTCTACGACGCTAGAGATGATTTCACATCTTCATTTCGACATACATACATACATACATACATACATACATACATACATACATACATACATACATACGTACATGCATGCATGCATACATACATACATGATTTCGCATCTTCATTTCGATATATACATACATTTTTGTATATGTATTATTAGGAATAAGACAAGAGGGAAGCAAAAGGGCATGGGTCCGGAGACACTAGACGGCTGGTCGGAAAACAATGGAACCCACCGATGGAGAGTGAAGGGTTCAGAGATCGTGCACGTAGCCTAACCCTCCCAACACTTCCTTTTCATGGTTGGTTGCTGGTCTTACATCGACCTACCCCACCCGAAACCCGACCCGACCCGACCCGACAAGAATCGTCTTCTCTCTCCCCTCCCTTGCTCGTATGGGGATGAGCCGCGTGGCACGTTGATCGTGGAAGGACTTATGGGCCTGAAAGGCCCATTAGAGTTGGGCTACTGTGAAATTGCTGGGTTGGGTTGAACCCATTAATTAGGGGTGTCAATCGGGCCGGCCCGGCCCGACCCGGCCCGAGTCCGCACTCGGCCCGGAAGTTTCGGGCTCGGGCTCGGGCCGGCCCGAATTTTTTCGGGTCTATATACTTAAGCCCGAAGCCCGGTCCTATGCACTCCAGGCTCGGGTCGGGTCGGGCCGGGCCGGGCCCGCTCGCGGATTTTCTTTGTAAATGTTATTTTTTTTCTTTTTTTCCTTTTTTTTTTTAATTTTTGGGCTTTCGGGCCGGCCCGATTCGAGCCCGAAACCCGATTTGAGCCCGGCCCGAAAGCCCAATTTTTTTCGGGCCAAGAAATTCCGGCCCGAAACCCGCTATTTTTCGGGCTGGGCCGGACCGGGCTTCGGGCCTCGGGCCCAAATTGACACCCCTACCATTAATAGGCTATCAGTTTAATTTTAATTGAATAGAATTTTTATCACACTAAATGACCATTAATCTATCACACCATGCTGTCATTCTTTTTTTTTTAATCTTACATATATATAATATTCGTAAATTTTATTTTGATAAATGGATAATGATGAATTTAATAAATTTATTATTTTAATTTTAATATTTAATATTTAGTTTCTTGTATTTGATTTTGGTATATTTTTATATTATATATGTATTTGATTCAAAATATGATTGTATTTATCCAAATATAATTTAAAGACGAAAATATATGTCGTGAATCGTTACACTTGGTTCATATTTAGGCGATATGTATTAGGGTGATTAATTTCCGACCCATTTTTTTTAAAAAAAAAACAGATTGGATTGGCCCGAATTCAAAATAAAACGAATCTGTGGTGGTAGACATTGATCTTAGACCAAATCCATTACAATTTTAAACACAAAGTTATAATATTTATTCTTTTAACATAATATCAAAACTATAACACGAAAAAATTAATACAAATGAATAAAATTAATACAATGTCTACGTCTAACATGAAGTGTCCATTGCTCAATTTCGTAGGTTGAATAAAAGTAAATATATTTACCAAAAAATAAAATAAAAGTAAATATAAAATTAATAAAAAAAAATTTTAAATTCAGAATTCAGATCGCAGGTTCGAGGAAAAAAACAAATTTGTGCTAATTTGTAAACAAACGAGCGATCCGTTGGTTCTGACGAGGTCAATAAGTGGTCACCTAATCCAACCGTGTCTCGTGTTTCTTCAAATTTCGTCGAAGCTTTTTTTTTTTAATTTTTGGGCTTTCGGGCCGGCCCGATTCGAGCCCGAAACCCGATTTGAGCCCGGCCCGAAAGCCCAATTTTTTTCGGGCCAAGAAATTCCGGCCCGAAACCCGCTATTTTTCGGGCTGGGCCGGACCGGGCTTCGGGCCTCGGGCCCAAATTGACACCCCTACCATTAATAGGCTATCAGTTTAATTTTAATTGAATAGAATTTTTATCACACTAAATGACCATTAATCTATCACACCATGCTGTCATTCTTTTTTTTTTAATCTTACATATATATAATATTCGTAAATTTTATTTTGATAAATGGATAATGATGAATTTAATAAATTTATTATTTTAATTTTAATATTTAATATTTAGTTTCTTGTATTTGATTTTGGTATATTTTTATATTATATATGTATTTGATTCAAAATATGATTGTATTTATCCAAATATAATTTAAAGACGAAAATATATGTCGTGAATCGTTACACTTGGTTCATATTTAGGCGATATGTATTAGGGTGATTAATTTCCGACCCATTTTTTTTAAAAAAAAAACAGATTGGATTGGCCCGAATTCAAAATAAAACGAATCTGTGGTGGTAGACATTGATCTTAGACCAAATCCATTACAATTTTAAACACAAAGTTATAATATTTATTCTTTTAACATAATATCAAAACTATAACACGAAAAAATTAATACAAATGAATAAAATTAATACAATGTCTACGTCTAACATGAAGTGTCCATTGCTCAATTTCGTAGGTTGAATAAAAGTAAATATATTTACCAAAAAATAAAATAAAAGTAAATATAAAATTAATAAAAAAAAATTTTAAATTCAGAATTCAGATCGCAGGTTCGAGGAAAAAAACAAATTTGTGCTAATTTGTAAACAAACGAGCGATCCGTTGGTTCTGACGAGGTCAATAAGTGGTCACCTAATCCAACCGTGTCTCGTGTTTCTTCAAATTTCGTCGAAGAACAATAGAAATGTCGAAACGACAAAAGCCAATCAAGTTCCTTTCCTTTCCCTCTAATTTTCTCCCCTCCTTGTCTGCTTCTTACCCCCGCTTTCTCATCTCCCAAACAAAACGCCCTTCAGATTCCGGGAAAAGAGGAAGAGAAACTCGAAATCCCTGTCGCCGGAATAGATGACGGCGCCGAATTGGGAGCTCCGCAGTTGCTGCAACCACGACCAGGTCGCCTTCCTGGTCACAATCGGAGTCTTCACCGTCGTCATCCTCGTGGTTAGCTCTCCATTTTCTCACTAAATCTCTCTTACGCCCCTGTTTGGCTGCCGAGAAAATGTTTGGAGAAATGAAAAAAAAAAATAGGAACTTCGTTGTTTTCTTCGATTCAGTGGAAGATCTGAGGGAGTTCTCGTCAACTCTGGTCAAAAGGGTATCCGATCGTAGTGTTTATGTAGTAATTGACTTGTCATTTAATCTGATTTTCACGAATATCGGTTCCACCATTTTCAAATATTCTCATTGTTAGCGACATAATGTCTCGTCTCTATGTACTCGAAATTTCTATTGATGCTGTTTATGACCAGTGGTGAAACACAGAGTTAAACTCACTTAGGGTCAGAATAAACACGTGTGAAAGAAATTTCTCATGAAGAAGTGCGATCAAATTCTTCTTTTTCCAGGCAAATTTTTATATAATTGATTTGGTAACAACGGATTTTGGTTTTCTGATGGTGTTTACAGCTATGGAGGACATTTCTTTTGACGCCCTTTAAGCTCATCACTGTGTTTTTGCATGAAGCAAGCCATGCCATTGCCTGCAAGCTCACTTGTGGAGATGTAAGGAGCTTTTGATTTGAACTCTACATCGTAAAAGGGTACACTTAACTGTTTCGGTTGCTTGAAAAGTTCTACCAAGTTCGTGGTTCAGCAAGAGACAAATTTGTCCCGGTTGAACAGTTATCCATAATCCACTATGGGAACAGGATCTGGTCTTAGAAAATCAAATCATGTTCCAAATCCCATATAGAACTTGAATGCCTTGCCAAGTGATAATTTTTCATGGAGGTGACTTGGGTTGCTAACATCAATCTGAATCATATCTATATCCTTCTTTCCGGTCAAGAAAGTTTGCATCTTTAGAGATGGGGAATAGCCTGCCTAATTCCGCAGGGCGTTTCTTTATCCATCATATTAAAATCAAGACTGTGTTTCTTGCTTTCAAATCACAGAAACACTTTCGATATCCGCATTATATGCCTGTTCAGGATTTTCTAATGTCAATACATGTTTTTTTTCTTGTCATTATCTGTGTTGGGGATGCCTGTGGAATTGATAGATCGCTATGATGCAATGGCATATTACCTTAGGCAAATGTTAGAAAGAAGAGCTGAAAGCCCCAAACTTTACTAGAGTTGCTTATTTGCAATATCTCTACTTCATTATCATGTGGCACCAAAACTTAGCATTCTGAGCATAGCAGCCACAGCAACAGTGAGACAACCTTATTATCCATTTCAACGTGGCTGCAAAATGTCACTTCAATTGCACAATAAGATATAACATATAGTTTTGTGTTCGAAATATCCACCGCCTTCTTTTTTGGTTGCCTATTGTTGAAAATTTATCATCATCTTGAATCTACAGGTTGAGGGGATGCAGGTTAATGCAAATGAAGGAGGATCGACTACAACACGTGGTGGCATATATTGGCTCATCTTACCTGCTGGCTGTAACACACATCTCCTTCCTTTGAACGTGAATATATATATATTATGAAACACCATTACTTTGAAACTCTACTACCTTTATTTACGGACTTTGTCTTGGCATGAGGTGAATCACCAAGGCCATCTTCTCGTGGACTAATCCAAAGCTAAAGTTGCCAAAAAAAAAAAAAATCTGTTTCAGATCTTGGTTCATCCTTTTGGGGAATGGCTTTGATCCTTGCATCTACAAATCTCCTTACTGCAAGAATAGCAGCTGGCTGCCTTGCTCTTGCTCTGTTTGTCGTCCTCTTCATTGCCAAAAACGTAAGAATAATGTCTCCCCGTTGGTATTTCTTTTCATTTCTCTTTAATAATAATTTTAAAAAAAGCAAACGAAAGCAGTGAGATCCAATTTTCTGTTTCTACAGTGGACACTCCGAGGACTATGTATCGGTGAGTATTCTCATTATTTCTCTTTAAAGTAACTAGAATCGTCTTCTTTTGTCAGATCTGACTAACTACTACAATGTCTCAGGGTTCATAATTTTCCTTGCGATTGTCTGGGTTTTACAAGAGACGACCACAGTCAAAATCCTTCGTTATGTCATTCTGTTCATCGGTAACTAACTAAGTCCTACTTTCC